AGACGTCATAGTAACGGGGATCCAAAATCGGGTGACTGTGATTATCACTATAATGTGACTTTATAGGAGGAAAATCACTATGAAAAAAACTGGGACCGAACCAAAATGTGACTATAAGTCAATGTGACTGTATAGGAGGTGACTGTAGGGGAGGTCGACTGTACAGTGATTTTGGAATAAAAATTTTTTGATATATGTTTTACTAGCAATTTCAAGGCCTGCCGAAAGTACTTTTGGTAGGGGAAGAGGTAAATTCATACTAGATTCATATTTATTGGTTCATCTACATTCTTACTTCTCAGTTTTACGAATTCTCTCTGCCAAAAGTCATCTGGTACCTCATCAGTAAAGTATGTATACCAACGTTAATCCGGTCATCATTGTGTTAAATACTATATATAGGAATATACTGTACGACGTTAAAAGTGTAGGATATCTTGACTATAAAAAATTTTTCGTAATAAAGTTCTATATTATAAAAAATTTTTCGTAGATTATTATTATTCGAACCCGTTTCAGGATCAAAACGGGTCATAATAATAATAATAACATTAATATAACAGTGAATTTGGAATATTAATATAAACAATAGAATTGTCGGTAGATACTACTAATACACTACTTTAAAAAGAATATAAAACATGCAATCCTATATGGAGCCTGAAACATGCAAACACAGACTATATGATGGATCGCGGTCACAAATCGTTAATTGGTCGCACACGTATCTTAATAGTCTTTCTCACGAGAAAAATAAGTTCATGGGTAGACACTTGCAATTCCATGCAATTCGAATTTTTTGATACGTTTCGTTGTCTTTGTAAATATATTAGAAATAAATTTTACATTAATTCCGATTATAACATTGTAAAATCCATCCTAAATTTTCTACTAATTAAAATATTACGATAATAAAACAGCCACCCCCACAGAAATCAAAATGCCTTCGCGCTTTGAAATCACGTGTGAGAGATAATTATCACCTATCAAGAATAAATTTTGCCTCTGGTATGAGCGCTATTACTGTATATGCAAAATCAGCATTCATTTCCCAATACAGATACGCACATACACGCACACTGGTTAAAAAATCAGTACTGTGGTTGCGTTTTTTCGGATACGTCCATTCAGTTGACTCGAAGTATTGTTGGGCTGTAAAAATGATAATAATAAGACCATGTCAAGTCAAAACGAAAAATTAAGTGATTGACATACCAGCATGCTTGTATGATAAATCTAATAACATTGTAATACAAGACGCTTTGAAAAATGCGTTGAGTTATACATGTTATATAATGCATAAGCCACAAGATAATCGGATTTGAATTTACATGGTGTGCATACATAACATCCTGCTTCGAATTGTCTAGTTTTGAATTATTCTTGGGTGGGTTTGATTTCATCGTCTTTGGCTTCGGATATTTGAAAGCATTTTCGTCTATTCCATCTGAAAAAGAAAAAATGTTGAGTCCCTCCATTATATCTTGCAAACATGAATATTTGCCGTACATACTCAATATGTTTTCTGCTAATGCTTCATTTATATACCATCCCCTACTGACATACGCGTCATTGGCCAGCAATTTTTTATCCCTGGAATTTAGAAATAGTATTCCTTGTTGGAACTTATGATGTCACTTTAGGAAATCAAGATCAAGATCTTACTTATCATATGATAACTAACCTACTGGCATAATGCCATGCCCAACCTGCATCAGCTGCATTCCTAACAACGTAAAGCTGTGTACAGAGAATTGAATAAATATTTTAACCAACATCCCATAAACAATCTTAAGCTTGTTATACGTCTCCTGCAATAAGCAACAATCCCCAACCAACATACGCGAAACAATCGTTTGGTCCTGTTCTCACTGGGGAGACCTTATTGGGTAAAAATAACGATTATTAATATAATAACCGATTGTCGCGATCAATGAAATGATACATGCAAACTTTACTTCATGCTACCTCCGATGAATCACTAGGACATATCGAGATGGTATCGTCTATAGATTTTTTAGAGTTATTACAGTAACGTGCAAAAGTATCCTACCGGTTGTATCATCTAAACGTACATAATAATAACTCCTTAAATTTTCCAG